ATTTGGCATAGGTATCTAAATAAATAAGGATGACAAATAAAGGGCAAGGAGTTGTTTTTTCAGGAGGTTTGGGTTAAGGTAAGGTTTTGGGTAAGGGTGAACGTTGGTAAAAATATTATGGTTTGCAGAATCATAATTTAATATCGGTACGATTTCGACATTAGGGCAAACTTAATAATCAGAAAGAACGTACTCATAACTGTAGCATAAAGAAATGCATCAACAAGAATGATGTCGAAAATGATTTGATATCCATACGATATCGTCGATATCGACAATATCGATAGCAAGTACAATCTTCCTAAATTTAAATTATTTAAACAAAGACATACATACACAATGGCAAGGACAGCAGTTTGAAATACTTGAGCAAACATGAATCGACATCGAAATGATATCGACGATATCGACACTACAGGAGGAACTTCAGAAAATGATAGTATTCAGGTACCATAACATTGAGGGAGGTAACCAACATCCATTGAATAATCATGATTGAATATCAATGCGATATCGTGGATACGTACAGTAAGAAAAGCTTTGTAAATATTGAATATTGTAACATACGAACAAGAAAAAAGAAATATTGTAGCAAACTATGAAAAAATAATCTGTCGATATCGTAACTACATCTTGTCTTGGACATAACTCGGCTCAAAAGAGCCAGGAACATGAAATTCACAACTTTCCTCTCCTTTTATCACACATGCTATATATCAAAATTGATTAAAATATATATAAAGGTCACATAGAAAAAGCTGAATATGTTTAAATATAACATACGACGGACGACAAATGACAACAAATGAAACATACAGCAATAAGTCATCTGAGTAAATGAACAACCTCATCTCCAAATGTAATGTTAAAATGATGACATGGTTCGGATGAGATAATTGCCTCAAAGACAAGGCGCACTTCCTATGATCCCTTTCCTTTGCCTAGTGTTGGTTTGTTACATTATTCAAAGATGGCGGAGGAAAAAAAAACGCTTGAAACAACCCACTTGGTGGAACCCCTACAGTTCCAACTTAAAAGCGAAAATGATAAGCCCCCCCCCCCATTCTGCCACAAAAGTACTTTCATGCACACTTCAAAGATAACGGGGTGATAGACGAATCTTAAATTTTCTTGAAAAATGAACAAGAAAAAAAAGAAGAAAAGTTTCTATCAGAATATTGGCAATGTCCAGTCTTAAAGACCCTCCAAAAACTGAAAAGGAATACTTCCTATGATCCCTTATCCTTCCCTTGTGTTGGTTTGTTATGGTGTTCAAATATTGCAAAAAATAAATACTTCAAAAAGGGATTTCAACCAAAGCACAATTAGGTGGTTCACATAAAGTCCTAATCTGAGATCGGCAATTGATAGCCCGATACGCCACCTACTATGCCCTACTAACGGTATGATGCATATCCACTTCCAAAAAAAGGCTTATAATGACTGATCTTTATCCGTGTTTCAATATTCAATGTAAATAAACGACAAAGTTGAACTGGCCCCCATCAGGACCAAGAGAACCCGATAAAATTTTTCAATGATTCTCAACCAGTATTAGTCTCTTTCATGGACCTGAGGTGATTTGAAAATGAAAGTTTGAAATATGCCCCCACCCATGGCACCACTTGGTGGTACCACTACAGCCCCATTCTGAAAGCGGGAAATGATAGTCCTAGGGGCCCTCTACCTTGCCTTAGTAATGATTTGAAGCACACTTCAAAGATAAGGGGTATAATAGCTGACCTTTATCCGTATATTAAAACACAAAGTGAAAAACAACAAAGTTCAGGTTAGCTAACTGGCCCCTTCCTTCCCCAGGGATCCTTCAAAAACTTGGCAATTGGTTCTCCTTAATGTCCTTAACCTTTCACTAGTGTTACTTTGTTCTAGAAGCCAAAGATGCTTTCAAAATGAATGCTTGAAATACGTCCACCACCCTTGGCACCACTTGGTGGTACCACTACAGCCCCATTTTGATAGCGGGAAATGATAGTCCTAGGGGCCCTCTACCTTGCCCCACTAATGATTTGAAGCACACTTCAAAGATAAGGGGTATAAAAACTGATCTTTAACCTGTATAATAAAAAACAGAGAAAAACAACATAGTTCAGGTTAGCTAACTGGCCTCTTCCTTTCCCAGGGACATTTCAAAAATAGCCAAGTGATTCTCTCTAAGGTCCTTAACCTTTCACTAGTGTTACTTTGTTCTAGTAACCAAAGATGCTTTCAAAATGAATGCTTGAAATACGTCCCCCACCTATGGCACCACTTGGTGGTACCACTACAGCCCCATTCTGATAGCGGGAAATGATAGTCCTAGGGGCCCCCTACCTTGCCTTAGTAATGATTTGAAGCACACTTCAAAGATTAGGGGGTATAATAGCTGACCTTTAAGTTGTATATTAAAACACAAAGTGAAAAACAACAAAGTTCAGGTTAGCTTACTGACCCTTTTTCTTCCCCGGGACCCTTCAAAAACATGGCAAGTGGTTCTCCCTAAGGTCCTTACCCTTTCACTAGTGTTACTTTGTTCTAGTAGCCAAAGATGCTTTCAAAATGAATGCTTGAAATACGTCCCCCACCCTTGGCACCACTTGGTGGTACCACTACAGCCCCATTTTGATAGCGGGAAATGATAGTCCTAGGGGCCCTCTACCTTGCCCCACTAATGATTTGAAGCACACTTCAAAGATAAGGGGTATAAAAACTGATCTTTAACCTGTATAATAAAAAACAGAGAAAAACAACATAGTTCAGGTTAGCTAACTGGCCTCTTCCTTTCCCAGGGACATTTCAAAAACAGCCAAGTGGTTCTCTCTAAGGTCCTTAACCTTTCACTAGTGTTACTTTGTTCTAGTAGCCAAAGATGCTTTCAAAATGAATGCTTGAAATACGTCCCCCACCTATGGCACCACTTGGTGGTACCACTACAGCCCCATTCTGATAGCGGGAAATGATAGTCCTAGGGGCCCCCTACCTTGCCTTAGTAATGATTTGAAGCACACTTCAAAGATTAGGGGGTATAATAGCTGACCTTTAAGTTGTATATTAAAACACAAAGTGAAAAACAACAAAGTTCAGGTTAGCTTACTGACCCTTTTTCTTCCCCGGGACCCTTCAAAAACATGGCAAGTGGTTCTCCCTAAGGTCCTTACCCTTTCACTAGTGTTACTTTGTTCTAGTAGCCAAAGATGCTTTCAAAATGAATGCTTGAAATACGTCCCCCACCCTTGGCACCACTTGGTGGTACCACTACAGCCCCATTTTGATAGCGGAAAATGATAGTCCTAGGGGCCCTCTACCTTGCCCCACTAATGATTTGAAGCACACTTCAAAGATAAGGGGTATAAAAACTGATCTTTAACCTGTATAATAAAAAAACAGAGAAAAACAACATAGTTCAGGTTAGCTAACTGGCCTCTTCCTTTCCCAGGGACATTTCAAAAACAGCCAAGTGGTTCTCTCTAAGGTCCTTAACCTTTCACTAGTGTTACTTTGTTCTAGTAGCCAAAGATGCTTTCAAAATGAATGCTTGAAATACGTCCCCCACCTATGGCACCACTTGGTGGTACCACTACAGCCCCATTCTGATAGCGGGAAATGATAGTCCTAGGGGCCCTCTACCTTGCCTTAGTAATGATTTGAAGCACACTTCAAAGATTAGGGGGTATAATAGCTGACCTTTAAGTTGTATATTAAAACACAAAGTGAAAAACAACAAAGTTCAGGTTAGCTTACTGACCCTTTTTCTTCCCCGGGACCCTTCAAAAACATGGCAAGTGGTTCTCCCTAAGGTCCTTACCCTTTCACTAGTGTTACATTGTTCTAGTAGCCAAAGATGCTTTCAAAATGAATGCTTGAAATACGTCCCCCACCCTTGGCACCACTTGGTGGTACCACTACAGCCCCATTTTGATAGCGGGAAATGATAGTCCTAGGGGCCCTCTACCTTGCCCCACTAATGATTAGAAGCACACTTCAAAGATAAGGGGAATAACATCTGACTTTTAATCCATATATCAATAGACAAAGTGAAATACAACAAAGTTCAGGTTACCTAACTGGCCTTTTCTTTTCTAGTCATTGAAACCTGTCAAAAAGTTGACAAGTGATACTCCCTAAGGCCCCTAGCTTTTTTCCAGTTTAGTGTTAGTTTGTTCTAGTGGTCAATGATGGTTGAAAAATGAAAGCTTGAAATATGTTCCCCACCGTTGGCACCACTTGGTGGTGCCACTACAGCCTCATACCGATTGCGGGAAATGATAGTCCTAGAAATCTATCTTGCTACAGTAATGATTTAAAGCACACCACTCTTATAAGATAAGAGGTATGAGAGCTGCTTGAAATATGTAACCCACCCTTGGCACCACTTGGTGGTACCACTTCAGCCTAATTTTCATGGCCGTATATAATAGCCCTGTTGACCCTTTACTTTGTGCCAGTAATTGTTCGAAGCACATTTCAAGGATAATAACTTAAAATAGATCAAATTACCTTCAAACCCTTATCAATGTAAATATTAGGAGTAAGCAAATTTCAGGTTAGCGTTTTGGCACCATCATGTTCCTGAGACCCGTAAAAGAGCTTAAAAAGGATTCTCCCGGAAGTACTTAACCTATTTCCAATGTTGGTTTGTTCTTAAGCTGTCAAAGATGGTGACATTTTCTCTTTTTTTTTTTGGTTTGTTTGTTTGTTTTGAAACCGCATAATTTTCCTTATGCAGGTGAGCTTAACTGCCTCCAAGTGTTTGAATTATTAAATAATTAAGTGTCGCATTAATTATCTAATTATTAATTATAATATTATGTCGAAAATGAGGCATTAAACAGTATTGCGTCAGAGTACTCTCAGTCCTTTGATGAATTTCCTTATTGGCTGCTAGCTTCTGCGGGCTTAATGGCTGCTGTTATTGGCTGCTAGCTTCAGTCTAGTGTTTAATTAAAGTAGTAGATGTATAGATGCACTGTGTATATCCATGACTTAAAATGCATAAAGGATACCTGAATTCCAAAATGAGTCAAATTTACAGATGCACATATCTCTCGACAGAAACCTGCTGATGTAAAGTTGAAATAAAAGTTGTAAGTTCTATGTTCATTGACGACTTTTGAATCGTAGCACCCTTAAAAGAGGAAAAGTCATCATTATGATTGACAATAAAATGTGTCCCCTCCCATGTTCTTTATTTTACAACAAGTATTTTTGAGAAAATAAGAGCTTCAAGGCTAACGACAAATACCTAAAAGTTTTATCCAGGGTGAATATCGCCGATAAAAACCAGTCCAGTGCTGGAAAGAGTTCAAAGTTACATCATTGGTTTTCAGGGTATCATTAGTATGGCTGCAATGTTGTTGAGCTTCAAACCAGTTCCATGAGTCTTTTGTGGAGACAGTAATATCAACTAGATATATAAAATTTACGATGTAATAAAATATATCCTTTTTCTAGAATGTTTAATAAGCTTTCAAATAATTACATATTCATTCATTTTCCTACCAAATTAAAGAAATGGGTCATTTTGTTTAAAAACTGTTCAAATATCACGAATGCAATAAAATCTCTTCAGATAGATTTTCTTGGGGGATAATAATTAAATGAAGCTTCTTAAGAGCAGAATCAACTAAACGGCACTTTGTTTGTGACTTAATCAGTGGAACTTTCACTTCATCTTAGAGGGCGTTGACTATCCTTTTTTGTGATATGCAAAACTACATATGGCATTAAAAATAGAAGGAAAAAATATACGTTTACAATGTATATGCTATAATTTGTTTTATTTTACTCGAATGTTAAGAATTAAAAGTTCAATAGATAAAATAGTAAACAAATACTTCTTAATAAGTGATACCAGAGAATAGATTTGAGTAATTTTAGTAATTACGTCTATGAAGCAGTGTTTAATGTTGTGAAACTTGTCGAAAGAGCATTCGAAATTAACATTTTTTTAAACATTGCTTGTTTCCAGTCTACTTGAGGAGTTCTAGAATCGTGTACTTGGTGCTGACAAAAATTGGAAATTTTGACAAATGTTTTGGTTTAATTCTATGTTTCAGTCTTCATATATAAGTAAAAGATAAATGAATACGTACTAAGTTAGGATATGTTGGTACATTAAACCATTTGTCATGTTATTAGCTTAAGAATAAATGATTAATAATTTTCTTTTCGAACAATTCATAATCAACAGTTTTTTCTTGAGATTTTTTTTTTTTGAATTTGATCGGGCAACAACAATAATGCTTCTAATAAATTTGGTTTTATTGTTGATTTAAGTATTTATAACTGGTTAGGGATTTTCGTACTACATGTGTTACTTTGAATGTTCAATTTACAGCATCTTCTTGTTCATACAAATCACGTGACGACTGGCATTGCATGCGACAAAAAATAACATTTGTTGTATATACTCTGCTGTTTAAGAATTCAAACGTATTCTTTTTTATTCTATTTCACTCAATTTCGCGGGAATGTAACATCATGCGATCTTGACTCATCACAATCCACACTGGAGACAGTGATGAACACGGAATTGAAAGGCTTTTTTTCTTCAGATTATGATCGTTGCTTGACAAATTAAAATATGCATATTTTACTTTTATTTCTTACCGGGTCTTCATTTTTATCACTGGGACGTAAAACAACATACAATTAATCAATCAATCAATCATTTTTATCACTTAGTATACATTATTCAATGAATGGCCAACATAATTCTATTGTGTTAATGTACGTATTACCCTAGAATAAATTGATTTTAACTCTGTTAATAATATTCGCCGGTATATGGCTGAAATAGTGCCGATTCGGCGTAAAACCTCAATCAATCAATCATAATAAAAATGACTTGGATTTTTTCATCATTGACGTGCAAAGAATTTAATTTTCTTTAAAAAGCTACAATGTACTTTTTTTTCCAATTTGAAGACAATGCTTTGATTTTCAAGTTTTTTTCTATATGTGATGGATATATAATCAATGCTCAATAAAGAATTGTTATCGCAAATGATATTGAATTAATCAAAAAAGTTTACAAACCATTGCATATTATGAAAGAAAACCACACAAGAACAATCCTTTTATCTCGTGTCTTCATTTACAACACTTTTTCTTCTCTAAAATTAACACAGGTTAAACCGAGTTGTACAGACAGTGTACTATTAGTACAAACATAAATGTTTTAAACAAGGAAGTCGAAACAAATATGCGACTTTAAGAAAAAAAATGTAAATAATAATGAGTCAGTTTAGTTAATAATCTTCCGTTATTTAAGCAGTAATTTGTTACTAAAAATCAATTGGTAAACTGTGCTATGATACAAATTGTAAGTTTGATATATATATATAAAACAAATTAACCCATCTACAAAATATATATATCTTTAAAAAAATTAATGTACAAGTTGTTTATGCGAAAAATAATAGACACATTTGCATGGATTACACGTCAAAATGATTTACAAATAAAGGTTTACTTTCGATATAAATCATAATATAAGCTACCATTTAAAATCAAAATAACTAAATTGAATATTCTTATCAAGAAATATTATTTTAATCAATATAAAAGGCTTTTGAGACTACAAAAGCCTATGAAATATAGACAACAATTAGTATGCTTAATACATCGGGTTTTTATTGAAAACAGAGTCTTTCTCACCCCTCTGATATGATCTGATTAATCGGCAATGTTGATGCATCCACAAAAGGAAATAAATTTAGTTGTTTAAGTATCCCTGAAGAAATAGTAGCATAGATATATGAATCTGTTTTTGAGTATAAAACTTCCTGTTGTAATAAAAAAAAAAGATCTCAACTATGCATTTTAGCCTCGCCTGCATCATAGGCTCATGTTGCATGTAGTAGTACTGATTGTATCTTCCCAAGTCAAGGTTTTCTGATTCACTCCGCTCCATAAAAATCCTTTACCCAATAAACTGACTTTTACCGAGTTTTACTTTCGCGCCATATAATTGTACGTTTTGAAACCTATTGACTCTGCTATTGGCAGAGTAAGTGAATTCACTAAAGAATGTGACAATATTGGAAGTCGGTAATAAATTCAGCAAAACTTTAACTCCAAAGCTGAGACAAACCTTTATAACTGTTTTTTATAGTGGTAAAGATGTTTTCGTTGGGACTAAAAATTGCGTGTTTTCTTAGGCAAATGGAAAGGCAATAACAGCTAAAAAAAAATCTAGCCTCCATGTATTTTCGTGAGAGTCAAAAATATCTTCCCATCAACAGTGACAGAGCCACAGATATTCAAATAAAGGCGTTCGCATTTTCATGAAGATATGATTTATGTTTGATCAAAAAACTAATAAACTCCTATTTTGGTGAACTCATACTACATATAGTGACTCAAAAATTTACTCTTCAGAATGTGCTACGGTATCAAAGCAAATTTAGCATTTCCACGATATATAGATTAAAAATGTCGAAGACTCATTTCTTTTAGTCTTATTTTAAACACAACGAAGATTTTGTTTTAGATCAAAGAAAATAGAAATCAGTTTCTATTTTTTCAGAAGGAAGAAAACGCAGCTAGGTTAAGGACTCCCATGTTTACGTCAGCCTATGCAGAGGTTCGGGAAAGCTATTATGACGTCACGTTAAAACAATACAAATGAATTTCGATGAATAAATACTATATGTTCTTTTTAAAACACACTCAAATACTTTCGTTCCTTAAAAATATTATAAACATGAATGGATGTGCAACTTATCTTGCAAAATAGCACTGTGAGTATGTAGAATGAAAGGCAGCTTGATTTTGCTGTACTTCCTGAGATAACGTCATTTCTTAGTTTGGCACGCAGTTTCTCTGTACTTGAGGCGTGGATCAAGGTATTATCGTAGTTTGAAAAAATAAAAATAAATTTGACAAAAGCTTAATTGGGCCAAAATGAAGACATATTCCAAAATATATTAATCCACATTTTATTGTCAAACTAAATTGATAATGTGTAGGCTTTATATATAGCCGTAGGGAGCACATTTGTACAGTAACTTGCTAGAATGAGTGGTCCAGCCCTTCAAAAATATCAAAAGTTCAACGATATCCGCTTCACTATAAATTCTGAATTTTTGAACACGTGTAGCTATTATTCCTACTATTCTCAAAAGTGCTGGGAGTTGGTGGTGCATTGTTTATTTATTCCGTAATGTAACATTATTTCAGTGTGTATTACATCTATGTCTGGAGTTAATAGAAAGACGGCTAAATTTTACACAATTCCCGAGTATGAGGAAGTTGCTCCCAGCACTTTTCTTGTTAAAAAATTTGTCTCAAACAAAACAGAATAAATTTTATAGCGGAAAGATACTCGTATATCGTTGAACTTTGACGATCTTTGTAGCAGTAAATATATGTTCTAAATTTAAACTTGTCACGTGACAAACAGCTGATGTAGGCGATGTCACTTTGGCCGACATCAGCAGAGACCCGATATATACAAGTGCAAACACCACAATACACATTCATCAAAACTGTTGCTGTTCAAAAAACATTAAAATTGTATTCATTTTCTCTAAATATATAAAGGCGTATTTTTCATGGACGTCCTTAACCTAGCTGCGAATGCTTTCAACATATTTTTTTTATTAATTTTATGACACATAGAGGTACTTTTCTCTTGTTTTGTACTTAGTTTTAAGAGATTCACCTTTTGAGATTTATGTTTTTATAATTTATTCGCTCATTCTTCAATTCAAAACATCAAGAGCATGCTCAACGTACGAACAATTTCTAAAACGAGGCTAGCTATTGACAAACAAGTTGATGAAACAAGGATATTAGCAGTCTCGCTTAAAGTCATCATTTCGCAAGATCAGTGGTCGACACAATGACTTGTTAGCAAATACAATATATCATTAAGTCGAATACTGACTGACATTTTTCATACTAATTGCTAGGCCACTATTTAAACACTGAATTGTCGACGGATTTTCCCGTTTGCACGATCATGACAATGAGCATACGACGGGTGTGACCGGCCGTCCATAGGGGATGCTTACTCCTCCATGGCACCTGATCCCACCTCTGATTTTTTTCAGAGGTTCGTGTTTGCATTGCTCCTGATTTGTATTGTTTCAAGGGAATTTATTGATTACTGTTCGTTATCTCCATATTTTATCAAATAATTGAAACCTGACAATGCAATACATATTCAGGAAATTAAAACAACCATTTTACTGTTGAAAAATGTAAATATTACAGGAGGGCTTTTCCTGACGCCATATAAATGTTGATATAGTTAGTTAAATGAGACTTGCAATTCATTTTTGGGTATTATTCAGTTTAACAAGTTATATTAGTTTTTATTTCAAATTCGTGTGATTTTCTTATAATGGTATTTGAGGAATCTGTAGATTAACTGTTTGCTTGTTTTTCAATAAAATAGCAAAGACAGGAAAGGTTGATTCTTATTAATTCTTATAAATATAAATTTACAATGCCTTAATGTCATGTTAGTCGACAGAACGATTTCATCAAGATCAGCGCTGAATTTCATTCTCTTGCTGGTGAACAGGCTGTAACCCTGTGATGCTTGTTGCTCAGTATATTTATTCTAATATGAATAGTGAAGAGATGAACTATTCCATACTGGCTGACACAGTGACAAGTATAAAAGGTGCCAGTCTGTAGAGTCTCTAAGGGCCACAATCTCTGACAGAACGGTTAGTGCCTCTCAGATTCTCCCTTCGGGACATCAATAATATATCATATATACAGTCAGTAAATATCCAATTTTGGTACAAAACAAACCAAATCTTTACTACAATTATAGATTGTAAAGTTTCAATCACATGTATTTGTCAATTCCTTTTTTGGGTGCCTTATGTTCCATTTCCAAATGCTCTACTTAGTATTGTAAAATTCGTGGCAATTTCATAAGTAAGTTGTTTTATAGCAACTTCAATGGAACAAATTTTTATACAAAGACTGGAAAAACTTGATTTCAAAAACTACGAATGATGACTGTGGAATTAAATGTACTCTGTGTGGACTAATTTAAATTGGCGAAACAAAGTGTTCCCTTAATTAGAAAATGAGGAAGCATAGGTTTGAAATAGGTAATGAGGGCCAAATATATCTTTAAAATCATTTCAATTCGCCTGACCTTTCTTTGTTTTCAATGACGGTTAAAATGGTAAAATAAATTATACTGTACCATCCAACTTATAGTCCAACTATAGATACTCAGTTCCCTACAAGACTAGACGATCAGAAAACTAGGCACCGTATTTCCGTATGGTTGGAACCACATTTATGTTTTTATTAAAGTTATCACAACACGTATATCAATACTTGGTTTTTTGTTATGAATACTACCGATATGTTTGATTACTGTTTTATAGAATACTTAAAGAATACCTATTCTACAGGTATTCTAATAAAACACACACGCTTTATTGTACGTAAAAGTTAACGCCATTCGAAGACTCAATGCAATCAGACGTTTTTTGCCCACACACCCTCACATTAATAACCATTTGTTTTATTGATTGTATGTTTTTTGTCATTGTAGATATATGAGTTTCGAAGAAAAAAATAAAAAAAATTGTATATTTTCTAATATAGATCTGCACTTGCGATAGCACTTCTGAACTTACCTATATGTGTTTTTATTATATTTTTAATATAAATTATTGATGTTCGTTTGAATCGAAAATAATAAGAGCATAAATAATGTAGAGAATCTTTCAAGCCAACAATGTACATTGTACCAGTGTGGCTGTGATATCACCTTTTCAGACTTTTTAACAATACATCAATATGTTGGTAAAGTCATAGATCATACAATGCACTAAAATGCACGATGTCTCATTTGATGCACTTTTACCTTACGTTAACACAGTGGGGAAGGGGGGGGGGGCTCTTGCGATTTCAATCAAAAGCTTAAAATGGCGTCAAATATGAGGTTAATTATTAAGTGTTAAAAGACGAGCGATACGATCACGATGTATTTTTTTCAGAAGACAAAAATGGGATAAGAGGCTTCGATTACGGTTTCTTTATGATTACAAGGAAGTCGTTATATCCTTAATTATCTCTGCATTTACATTAACAGCCCCTTCAATTAAAAAACAG